TTATAATTTACACAAATCTCAAAAAATAATATATAGTGGTGGAACCAAAAATCTCCAACTCAATAATTCTTTAAATGCTTCAACTCCAATCACCACTAGATTTGCTCCACACCTAAAAAATAAATTAATTCGGGAAGTATACAATACAACAGGAATAACAAGGCTCGAACAGAGAATAAATCAACAGGGATCCAACAATTACACAACCGGTTAGATTCGATAATCAATCAATTTACCAAATTGCATAAACTAGTCAACTCGACAGATGATAATTTATCTAGGACCAAATACCCAGTCCTACTCGGTACATGACCAGTGACTGGCCTCACCCACCTCACCCAAGCACAACCGCTTATCCGGGCTATTGGTCCAAGCTATTGGCAAGGTCTACTCGATCTATGTACGGAGCATTTCCACGCCATTTAGCCAGACAAATCAACACTGACTACACAAAACAACTTCACAGAATTTATCAAATGACTAAAGCACTCAAACGTGTCAACAGAATGATTTCACAAGATTTATCAAATGATCACAATAATCAAGAGGATTACAAATTAGAAGTAATTAAAATAAACACTCTTTTCAAAGATTTAAATGAATCATATTGTATACCACCCGAATTACCTCAAATCAATCTCCTCCGTCGCCAACACTCAAATCTCGATATTTCTCCATGGATCTCCAAAGTCTAAGGCATAAGGTATGTAAGGTTTCACAAAATCTACAGCTCTCCTCCTTTATGAAAATGCTTACTCTCACTTTAAATATTCTTGATCTAAACTCTATATCAATATAACAAATGGAGAGAGATATGGGAAGAACCAAAGAAAGAAGTTGAGATGTGAGCTCAATTTATAGACAAGGATACTTGGGACAAAAGAAAAGATAGACTTGGGGCCAAAGAAAGGAACTTTACTTGGTGGGCAAGAAAGGGATTTACTTGGAGAACAATAAAAGAAACTTCATTGGAGACAAAGTAACTTGGAGAGAAAGGAAGATTAAAGAAATTAAAAATAAAAGATTACCTAGTAAGCAAGGAAATGATGAAAAAATAATAAAATAAAATTTACTTGGTACCCAAGAATAATGAAAAAATATTAGAAAACGAAGGAGATGAATAATAATAAGGTGGAGAAAAAAAGAGATAAAATAAATGGAGAAAAATAAGTTAGATTCTCATTTAAAAATCTTACCGCCAAACTACCACCAATACCTCTCATCAAAATATTAATACCTCAAAAATACGGGGTTTCACAATCTATCCCCTTAAACAAATTTCATTCTCGAAATTCACAATCTCTAATACTCCAAAATTTAATAACTAATAATTCCTAAAATAACACGCTTCGCTGCGCACTCTGATATAAACAACGTTTTTTTTTTTTTAACCTCAAATATCAATCTTTTGTTTTTGATTTTTTTTTTTGCCTCAAAATTGAACCCAAATATTAATCACCTAACAAATCTCATGTACGACCTAATCCTTACGCTCTGATACCATTCTGTAACGCCCCAACTTCTGGGCCGTTAATAAATCAATTCAACCTCAAATTTAAAATCCTAACTAATTAATAACCTCAAAAATACAAATTGGCTCCAAAATAATTATACAAACGTCTATAATTTATAATTTACGCAAATCTTCAAAAATAATATATAGTAATGGACCCAAAAATCTCCAACTCAATAATTCTTTAAATGCTTCAACTGCAATCACCACTAGATTTGCTCCGCACCTGAAAAATAAATTAATTCGGGAAGTATACAATAAAACAGGAATAACAAGGTTCGAACAGAGAATAAATCAACAGGGATCGAACAATTACACAACTGACTAGATTCGATAATCAAGCAATTTACCAAATTGCATACACTAGTCAACTCGACAAATGATAATTTATCCAGGACCAAATACATAGTCCTACTCGGTACATGACCAGTGACTGGCCTCACCCACCTCACCCAAGCACAACCGCTTATCTGGGCTACTGGTCCAAGCTATTGACAAGGTCTACTCGATCCATGTACGGAGCATTTCCACACCATTTAGCCAGACAAATCAACACTGACTACACAAAACAACTTCACAGAATTTATCAAATGACTAAAGCACTCAAACGTGTCAATAGAATGATTTCACAAGATTTATCAAATGATCACAATAATCAAGAGGATTACAAATTAGAAGTAATTAAAATAAACACTCTTTGCAAAGATTTAAAGGAATCATATTGTATACCACCCAAATTACCTCAAATCAATCTCCTCTGTCGCCAACACTCAAATCTCGATATTTCTCCATGGATCTCCAAAGTCTAAGGCATAAGGTATATAAGGTTTCACAAAATCTACAGCTCTCCTCCTTTATGAAAATGCTTACTCTCACTTTAAATATTCTTAATCTAAACTCTATATCTATATAACAAATGGAGAGAGATATGAGAAGAACCATAGAAAGAAATTGAGATGTGAGCTCAACTTATAGACAAGGATACTTGGGACAAAAGAAAAGATAGACTTGGGGCCAAAGAAATGAACTTTACTTGGTGGGCAAGAAAGGGATTTACTTGGAGAACAAGAAAAGAAACTTCCTTGGAAATAAAGTAACTTGGAGAGAAAGGAAGATTAAATAAATTAAAAATAAAAGATTACTTGGTAAGCAAGGAAATGATGAAAAAATAATAAAATAAAATTTAGTTGGTGCCCAAGAATAATGAAAAAATATTAGAAAACAAAGGAAATGAATAATAATGAGGTGGAGAAAAAAAGAGATAAAATAAATAGAGAAAAATAAGTTAGATTCTCATCTAAGAATCTTACCACCAAATTACCACCAATACCTCTCATTAAAATATTAATACCTCAAAAATACGGGGTTTCACAAATTATATTGAAATTAAAAAGACAAATGATCTGATTAGTTTACCTTTAATCTATATCTAATTTTAAATAATTTTTTTATTACACTAAAATGAAAAAATAAAAATAAAATTGGCACAAAAAATACCACCACCGACATTTTTACACCAATAATTTTTATGCGAAGAAGTTTGAGATCTGGACTTATCCACTCTAATTTTTTTTGGTGAATGATTTGTGTGGTAGAAATTAAATTTGTATAGTATAAGATTTATATGTAAAATAAATATAAATGATAAGATAATAATTTTAAATAATTTTTTAATAATAAAGTCAAAATTTATAATATTGTTGTTTTGATAACTAAGTGCTTGTTTGGCATAATCTATAAAAGACAAAAAGTTAAAAAATTACTAAAAAAAACTAAAAAGTTATTACTATTTACAAAAAAAAAATATAAAAACAACAAATTTACACAGGAAAAAAATACATGTCAACTGTGGCCACTGTAGTGATGGTACATTGTGAAGTGATGGTACAAATTTACACAAGCGATGCACAAAAAAGTTACACAAGATAGTGTTGTTTGACCTGTGGGGGCCCATCACGGGGTCCCGTTTTGATAAGCTGAACCATTCAATGTGTAGAACTCGTCGAGTACTATATGCCTGTAAAAAATCATATTAATCGGATATCGATAGCTATATAACAAATCAGTTTTGTATAAAAAAATGGACAGTGAACAAATTAATAATTTACAAAAAATTGATCCGATGAGATAGCTATCAATATCCGATCAACTTTATTTTTTACAAGCATATAGTATTCGACGAGTTCTACACATTTAACAATTCAGATTATCAAAACGGGACTTGTGGTGGGGCCCACGGGTCAAACAACACTATCCAATCCACCACACAACTTCAAAGCAACGCAACTAATTGGCTTCCTAAACAATCATTGTCAGTACACACCTAGGGGCAATAGGGGTAATTTGGTAATTTTGCTATTTTATACAATATTTTAATACACATTTTTTCGTAAAAAGTCAAAAAGTTATCCCAAAAAACCATATTTTTTTCCTCTACTTTTTTATCCAAAAAGTCAAAAAGTATACTTATAGAGTTCATCTCAAACAACTCCTAAATAGAGGGAAGAGATGGAGTCATTATTTCGAAGGGGAAAAAAAAAAGCAGTAAAATAAGGAAAATGTTTTATAGCTATAAAATAGTTTTAATTTGCCTTCTATCTTACTATGTTTTGTCTTCTTTTTTTTTTTTTAAATGCTTTGGAGGTTTAATTCTTGAGCTCTTAAGCCAGCTCTAATGAGTTGACAGTGGATTCCATCCACTGTGATGTGATATTTTAATCTTGATTTTATTTTTTCCTTCTTACTATGTAATTAGTGCTCCATTAGAGTAGCAAAATTAATACTCTGAATTATTATTTTTATTTTTTTATTTTTTTTTTAAATTGCCAGCTCAGTAGAGCTACTCTACTGGAGCTCTCTATCAATACTGGTAAAATATAGGGGTATCTACGTATAGGTCCTAATAAGTGGACTTATTGTCTAATAGGTCCTATGGAAAAAATTTGTCATAAAAAAGTCACTAATTGTAAGTTTTAGCGACAATTTATAAAATCATGACAAAAAAAAGTCACTAATTGTTAATTTTTAGCGACACATATAAAAAATTATCACAAAAAAAATTATTTTTAGCGACAATTTTACCAAGACTTATTTTCAATAGGATTTGATGGGAATTAAATCTAACTATAAGGACCTATTGGTAGTTTACTCAAAAATGGGGTATCTACGTGTAGGTCCTAATAAGTGGACTTATTGTCTAATAGGTCCTATAGAAAAAATTTGTCATAAAAAAAGTCACTAATTGTAAGTTTTAGTAACAATTTATAAAAATCGTGATAAAAAAAAGTTACTAATTGTCAATTTTTAACAACACATAAAAAATTGTCAAAAAAAAAATTATTTTTAGCGAATAATCTTGAGGAGACTACACTGACCAAGATAAGCCCCCTGATGATTTCATCAGTATAATAATCTGGATGTGACTCTTGCAAGGAAAGCAAATGATCGATCATGGTGTTCTTACTCTTGTCACGCCTGTGCTCATTGATCAAATCTTGCAGGAAAGCGTCCATTTTCTTATGAATTCTCCCCAAATTTTTCTCTGAGCCCTGATAATCAATCCACGTAAAACCGGTAAGAAATCACCGGGGTTCGACGCACCGCCATACTCGAACGCCTCGATCACGAGCTCCCGGAACTCCTTGGCCTCCTCGTAGTTCGACAAGTCATCATCGTAATACTGCTTTCCGGCGATCATTCTCATGACGATGTTGAAGGTCAGCTCGTAAAACTTGGATTTCAATTCGACTTTTTTGAAATCACGAGACGAGTTTTGGGACAATCTGAGGAGTAAAAGCTTGATTTCGTCTTGCCTGATGGATAAGAAGGCATTGAGGCCGCTGGTGGAGAAGATTTCCACCGCCATGATGCGGCGGAGGTTGCGCCAGAGGTCACCGAAGGAGGCCGCAACGATGGTGGTGTAGTTGTAGCCCAAGTACTTGCCGAAGGCGACGCGAGGGCGGTTGGCTAAGACGACGTCGTTCTTGGTGAAGCATTCCTCCACAGCGGATGGTGAGGATACAACCACCACGAGGTGTGAACCAAACCGGAGGGAGAAGACGGACCCGAGGTTTTGGGAGAGTTGGTGGAGAGTGCGGTGGAGAGGTTGTTTGACGAGGTGGAGGTGACCGATCACCGGAAGAGCCGGTGGGCTTGGAGGGAGATTCTTCTGTGTTCTTGCTTTCGATAAGAACTTGAGAGCAACAAGAAGTAAGAAAACAGAGAGAGATATGTATGGCAAAGTAACTTCCATGTCTGGTTGATTAATCTGTAATGAAGATTGGATTATACTTGTTTTTTTAGGATGGATTTGAATGAATATATGTAGTGTCAGTGTGTACGGTAAATGGTTATGATTTTGATTTGCTACATCTATTTGATGGATATTGAATTTTTTTTTGCTTTAATCGACTATGATATATATGATAAAGTATTTTCTAAGCATCATTTTAGTGTTTAGTGGGAGATTTGAGATTAAATTTAGAAAATGAAAGAAAAAATGTGTAAAATTAAGTGACTTATAAATATATTTTATTCAAATTTCACTTATTTTTTTCTTTTACTTTATAAATATTTCAATCAAACACAACGTTAGTAGAGATGGTCACAGTAAATCCATAATCATTTTTTTTAACTTCATTTTTAATTTTTTTTTAGTGTTTAGTGGGAGATTTGAGATTAAATTTAGAAAATGAAAGAAAAAATGTGTAAAATTAAGTGACTTATAAATATATTTTATTCAAATTTCACTTATTTTTTTTTTTTACTTTATAAATATTTCAATCAAACACAACGTTAGTAGAGATGGTCATAGTAAACCCATAATCATTTTTTTTTAACTTCATTTTTAAATTTTTTTTTATTTATTTAGTAATATGATCACGTCTTACTGTTACGTAGGCATCCTCATGCATCCATAATCATTTTTTTCAACTTCATTTTTAATTTATTTATTTAGTAATTTGATCACTTCTTACTGTTACGTAGGCATCCTCATGCATTAGTTGTTGAGGAAAGTTACCTCCTAATTTTAAGTTTAGGAATAGATTATTTTAATAATTTTTAAATTTTTTAGTTAAAATATGAGATAAAAAATTAATATATTTCAAATAATTTTTATTTTTATAAAAAGACGTGTAAAAATAAAGAGAAATTTTGACTTTTTAATTTATTATTATTATTTTGTTTTTTGGATGAATTTTTTACTTTTAGGATAAAATATTGAGTTGCAAAATGAGGGAAATGAATTGATTTTTTGACTTTTTAATTTTGACTTTTAGACTGGGCAAAAAAATCTCGTTTGGAATATGCTTTTTTATGACTTTTTGGCTTATTTTATTTTTTTAATTGACTTTTAGACTAGGCAAAAATTGAATTTTTACGACTTGCAATGAATGCCGTAAAAACTCTTTCATGGCATGCACGCAAATGTCGTTATATGACATGCCGTAGAAAGTTGAGCGTCATTTACAGCATGCAGGTAAAGTTGTAAAAAGTAATGATTAAATATTAATGACATATTTTGTATGTCGAATATAATTTTTTACAACATTTTTGTCATGTCATAAATCATCATATTTTTCATGACATAAATTTTCATGCCGTAAAAAGTTATTTTTAATATATTTATTATATACTTTGTATGTCGTATATAATATTTTACGACATTTTCTTGCATGTCATAAATCATCACTTTTCACGACATAATTTTCTATGCCGTAGAAAGTCATTTTTAATATATTTATGACATACTTTGTATGTCGTATATAATATTTTACAGCATTTTCTTGCATGTCATAAATTATTACACTTTTCATGACATTATTTTATATGCCGTAGAAGCATATAACTGAGAATAATTTTCATGAATAAGATAATAACTGAGAATAAAGAAAACAAAAGCAGATTGGACCTACTCTTAAATCCCATCTGAATTTGTTTTGATCCATCACAGTCCTTCCTAAACAAAGAAAATGAATATTAAAGACAATGACAAACAATTTGAGAAATGAATAATGGAGAAATTAAGGACCAAATAGTATTTGATATATACATTTACAATATTATAGTATAACGTTTTCTTGAGATTAACCCGTGTTTTACATCAACAAACTAACAAGCAGCCAACCAACCATTCCACAAAATGATTATAAAAGAAAGGACAATATTTCAGCTATACTTTATATCCTAATCCATGCAAATTCTATTTACAATGAAGTTAATGTGAATGATGTATAAAAAATAAAAAATAAATAAATAAAAAATGAAGTTGAGTGAAGAAAGATTGGTTTAACTTTTCGATCTTGGTGCCTATAACAAGCAATATGGGCTTTGAATCATGCAATTGTCACGAATAACGGCAAGATTGCATTCAGACAATTCCTAGATAGACAATCCATTAAGCTGCAAGGAGATAAGATATGCCACTGATTGAAGGCTTAAAGGAAGTTTGGTAGACCACGACACATCAAGTAGTTAATTTAAAATATTGGGGTAAGAAACGGCTTGTAAAAGATCAATGGTGCTTCCAAAGATAATGTAGGAACAGGTTGAAAAGAAAGTAGAATGGAAAATGTTATCCTGTTCTAGCTAGCTCTAATATTTTCATTGAACCATCAATGAGAAATTTCAATCACCGCCATGAATTATGGAACCAGGTTAATTCACTTCAAATGTCATTGAAAAACTGGCTTGGAACATTAAGCCAGACAATATCACCTAGACACCTGCTCAAGTCATTTTGTGCAAACAGGAAGAAATATGCCTCTCCAATAAGTGGGTACCCAAACAAAGGAGAAACACCTCATCTTCAATACATAAATGTACTAGTGATAGAGAACACAGTGGTGTTTTGTGCATTGCAGTTTATGTATCAAATCCTGTTCTCTCTTTTGTCGCACAATCCTTCCCTTATCTTCATCAAGTTTCACAAAAACTTAAGCAAATCTCTAAAAATCTACTCTAAAATGAAACATCATACAAGACAGCAAAAAGCAATAAGACCTGAAAGACATCACAGAACAATGCGAAAAAGCAAGATTGTCTTCTGTATTGAACATGAGAAATGTTGGAAGAACTGTAATTAACAAAACCCAATTGTGCTAGCTGGCAAGGCTCTGTATACATTCTCCGAAAAATGTTGGAAGAACTGTAATTAACAAAACAAATGACTAAGCACTCCAGCAAATGAAGTTTGCCATGTAAGCAAGAGGTTATATTTCCTTACCTTAATGAGCTTATTGGTAGAAGCAGACTTTATGGTTAGGGTATCTAAACCAGGAAAAATCCAAACCAAGCCATCCACAATTGTTGAACAAGTGGTTTGTTAGTAATGGGCGCCCATGTGGCATGACCATTAGAATTTGAACTTTATCCAAATAGGTTTTGAAATTGAATTCAAACCTATTTAGGATAACCACTCAAGATACAGATATTATCAGTTTTAACTGATATGGATAGATATAATAATATATTATATATCTGGAATATGGTTATGGGTGATTAAGAGAGAAACAACGTATGATCTGTTTCTACCCATATACTGACTCTCTCCCAAAAAACAACGATCAAGTCATTTTGCACTGTGATTTGTGTGGGTGATATTCAATCTGTAATATCACTTCACTGCTGGGTTGGTTTATCAGATTCTGGAAGCACGTGATTTATCCACGAGGTTCTATCATCTAAAGGTATGATCTAAACATTTTATCCGCTGCATGTTTTGTGTTTTGATTTACATTGGTATCAGAGCCATTGATGGATATTTTCGTGTTTCCATTAATCATGTGTATATTTTTACATGTGTATGTTTATATTATATACATGAATGTTTGTAAAAAAAAAAAAAAAATCTACTTTGATTAGATTAAGAGCATAAATATTTTTTTAATGTTCATTAATGTCTTTTTTCATACCATAAACGGTTTTATTTTGAAAAAAGGAGTCCGGCAGCTACAATAATTATGGGAGAAGTCAAAAAATCTTATGGGTTGAGAAAAGTTAATAAATCCTTTTTATGATCTAGTGAATATGACTTTGTCGTGAGTCATTACCTAGTCGGCGGCACTGTCCTCGCACGCGCGCTGCGTGCTGGAGCCGAGCGTCGAGCCGCGTTTGAGCCGTGCGTCGAGCCGCTCCGAGCCGGTGCTGAGTCGCGCCGTTTTCCTTAGGCGGCTTGGCTGGCTTGGCTGCTGTTGCTCTAAGGCTCTGTTTGTTTGTTTTTTAGTTCTGAATTGCGTTAATTGGCCATAATTTATTCGTTATAGCTTTGTTTTAAGCATGGTTGGTACTGTTAGACTCAGAATTAATTTTTCTAATTATGGCATAATCTGAATATTGTTTCTGTTTACTAGTTTCTGGATTTTTTATTTCTAATTTTATGTGTATTTATTAGTCATTTAAAATTCCAGAATATTTTAGAAAAATTTCAGAATATTTCAGAACAATGTACATTTTAATTATGGCATAATCTGAATATTGTTTCTGTTTATCAGTTTCTGGATTTTTTATTTCTAATTTTATGTGTGTTTATTAGTTATTTAAAATTCCAGAATATTTCAGAAAAATTCCAGAATATTTCAAAATGATGTACACTTTAATTATGGCATAATCTGAATATTGAATACAGCATATTTTTTAGGTTTGTAATATGTTATAATTAGAGGAGCATGATTATTTATTTATTTATTTATTTGAATTCCATTATTAAATGAATATAGCATGAGTTATTTGTAAATTTACATTAAGATGCTATTGTATGGAATTTATCATACTTTGTATATGTCATAGTCAGTGGGAGGTTATTCGGTTGAGAGAAATCTTTGTAGATTAACTCCCGAAAACCAATATTTTGCGCATAAATTAAACTAAATTTTGGATAATTGTCACTTGTGGCGCAAGAGATGATTACGAGCATAGCGGATTTTCGATCTTGCGACTTGTGTAATATTGTCACTATTTAATTTAGATTTTTGTGGCAAAATTATATTATGCTAATCAAATTAATCCCAATGTGAATTTCTCTCTAAATTGACTTAGCTTATGGAAGTTAATTGGTTGACCTAGACTTAATAAAGATGTTCAAATGTGAATAATTTAATCCCATTCTTTAGATGAGCAAAAGTCTTGGAGACTTTAGGTCAAACCTTAATTGAGCCAAAGTAAGGAAACATGACTCAAAGTCGCCGTGTTTTTGTTGCCTTGTTTGGCACAATAAAAACTAATGTGTGCGCTATAGTTAGCGGCACGCTACATAGTTTTGGTTGGCGAGTTTTGGAGTTATGAAATTAGTAAGCCCTCAATAGATCTGTATATGATCTTGACTATTGAGCTGGGCGGATTGACTTTATAATTTGACTTGTAAATAATGTTACATCATTGGATGAAGTAACATTTAAGAGTCACGTCATCCAAGAAATGCGAGCTTAAATAAATTAGTCATCAAGTGTAAGACAAGTAGTCAGTATGAGCAGTATTTTGCTCTTTACCTAATTATTGGGAATAGATAGAGCAAAAAATTTCATGCACTACAATAGTGTGCATTGAAATATCACATGAAGTTAAAAGATTAGCGCTTAGAAGCTGCAAAATCTATTAACACTAAGTGAAAAGATTAGCGCTTAGTGGCTGCAAAATCTATTAACACTACGTGAAAAGATTAGCGCTTAGAAGCTGCAAAATATATTAGCATTGCCAACTTGTCTAAGTTTGGACACTTACTGTTTCCACACTTGAGTGTGAGACATGGATGAGGTGCTTCTTTGTGTGATTCCTTTACTAGGCTAACGTTTTAAATAACGTTTAACACTAAGCGCAAACGTTGCGGCATAGTGATGAAAAGGTCAAGGCCGACAAGGTTATTATGACTCTAAGAATTTGACGCATCACTTGTGAGAGCATTGTGTTGAATTAGACTCTTTAGCCTAATTCGCGCTTAAGTTACTTCAGGAGCAATCATAGTTGATTCTGTTGCTCCGGAGTCTACAACCCAAAAATGAGGAGAATGAGCAATTAATGCTTGACTAGACACAAAGCATTGAATGCGAGAAATTAAGTAAGGGAGTACCTTCTTCTGCTCAGGGCAATCCCGAACGAAGTGTCTTTCTTTGTTACAGTTAAAGCATGTCAATTTAGCCTTTAC